GTGTGTGTGTGTGTGTGTGTGTGTGTGTGTGTGTGTGCGCGCGCACGCTACAGGTACACACATCAATGTTCAGCTCTCACAGTAAAAGAGGATCACATTCGTTAAGGTATTTTCCTGAAGAAGGAGAACAACACAAAGATGAAAGGATCAGTTGTTGTCAACAGCTGTTTCCTGCACTGGGGAGATCATTTTTTAATGCCCTTCTAATCCTTCTGTTTCTTGCACTTGTCGTCATCGACTTTTCTACTATGTATTAATCAGGTAAAGACGCTTATTAAATGAAAACTTGAGTGTCATGTTAACATTCATAAGAATGTTCCCAAATTTCATTTTAAAAACTCTTGACTTCTTAAAGAATTCCTTTACGGGTCCCATCAAAAGAATCTCTCTCCTAGACAGAAATCCTTTACATAACGTTTCATGCCTGGAAGGTCTAACTCCGCCACAAGTGCAAACTTGCACAGATAGGGCTGGCGTTGGAGAGAGAGGCTAACTTATTTTAAAAGTAAATAGACATTAGACAATAGTTTCAACATTAACTTACTCTTCGTTCTTCTTCACCACAGTAAGCCAGAAGGCTATGAGCCCCATTCACCCCTCCTCTAGTCTTCCTTCCACTCTCTCCCTGTGTGGTACCCCCTGCTCTGAGAAGGTGAATGCCTTCCTCCCACCAACCTAGTTATTTATCGACATAAGCTTGCATGCTGTGGCATTATCATCTTAATGCATAATTCACAATTTCTTGCATGTGGCCCGCACTTTTGCCTTACTCCCTGCATCCTGAATGAAACATAAAGAGGAAGTACTTCCAAAGTAGGCATCGGAAAGGATTCCCGAATGTTGCCATTGACCCCCATCCCCTCTGGCCTGCTCCAGTACCCAGAATATTGCTTGGCTAGCAGTTCCCACACACCCTTGTGAGGTTCTATATTGAGGTAAAAATTGAGGAATAGTCTCAAAGTTTGGGCTGTGGGGCTGGAGAAATGCTCGGCTGCTAAGAGCACCAGTTGTTCTTGCAGAGGACCTGGGTTTAATTCCCAGCACCCACGTGGCAGCTAACAACTGTCTGTAATTCCAGTTCCAGGGGAGTCTCTCACCCTCTTCTGACCTCCACGGGCATTGCACGGCACAGGTGCACTTACACACATGCAGGCAATGCATTCATACACATAAAATAAAAATAAGTAAAAAAAATAGTTTGGTCTCAGTGGGGAGCTGTGAACCTTTGGGGTAAAGTGCTCTATACACATGAGGAAAAGATGACAATTATTACCTTAAAGGTCCCATTCTTGAGTGGCAGCTAGATGTTTTCGGGAGGGCAATAGTCTCAAGTGTCTGTAATTCAAGAAAAGGAGAAGTCATCTTAGAATTGTTATTCCCACTGGGACAGGGTAAGGTGTGGATAGTGGAAAGGGAGTGAGGAGGGTGAAAGGAAGAAGGAGAGGCTGGTGGGAATGGGAATGGCTGCTTAGTGTGTTGGAGGGAAAAGAAAAGAAGCCAAGCATTTTCAGAAGCTGGGGAAGGCCAAAGAAAAAGATGAAGGGAGAGAGGACTGAAGGTGCATCTAACTGGAAAAGAAAAGGAAGAAAACGGACAAGAGCTTGAGAAGAGACTTCTGCAGGACCGACTATGGTAGACAGTTTTCAACCAGAACCTGCTCCTTAAAAGGGCTGGGATGAGCTCCTCCCCACGGAACCCACTGCATCTGGTTAAGTTGATTAGGCTAACCAGCTACATACTTTTAAGGATACAGGAAAAAGAACATAAGTGGATCAGCTCACCTATAAATATTCAGGTCTGGGTAGCTCTGATTTGAACACATCCACAATTCAGGCAGTCTAAAAATGACCTCTCGCTCTCGCTCTCTTGCTCTCTCTCTCCCCCTCTGTCTCTCCTGTGCATGTATACGTCAGTGTTGATTTTCCCAAGAAGCCTCCCAGAATACTGGCAAGCCTGTTATGTACATACATGACACATGTAGCACATATTCCGAGTTTCCATCTTTGTATGCTCCCAAAACTTCCTTTTTAGAAAGCAGTTTGCTCTCCATAAAGTATAGATGCTGTGTAAGACAGTCTCGCACAGTCACACTTGCCATCCCCTAAAACACCTATGTGAAGGCCGGCATGACACTGAAATCAGAAGGTCACCATTACCATTTGCACAGGTGTGGGATCCAAGGAGAAGCTTTTGACATGCATTTTGAGTCCAGCAAGCAATAATTCCTCCTTTTTTTATAAACAGAAAGACATGAATTATTAAAAAATTAGACATTTAGAATAATGGCCCTCCACACGCAAAGTATTTATTTCAACTTTCATCATTCATAGTTTATTGCATTGATTTTTTCATCAGTTTACTTAGTATTAGGCTTCCACTGAACTCATCAATAAGAAATGAATTTTGGTAACTTTCAAATCCACTATATTATTTTCCTTTTATTTGTAGTGAATTTCTCTTCCCTCGATGGTATTACTGCAATAAGTCAGTCATTACTTCTTTATGTTGTCTCTTCTTTCTTCCGTATTTCATTTCCCTTTACAGCACATCTTGTGATCACAAAGAAAACAGAGACACTTATTTCTTTTAACACTTGAAATTGCTGCAAGTGATTTAGTTGTCATTTAATTTGATTCCTCTCTTCTGTCTGTGGAGAAATATGTTTAATGTACTGGAAATTATGTTAATAAGAAAAAGCATTATCTCATTTAATGAAATAAATATACAAATATTTCAAGATAAAATAAAGAGGCAGTCTTACTGAGAAAAAATGTCTCTTATGGTTTGTGTAAAATAAACAAATGAGAAAAAATCATGAATACATTGAAACACTGACAAAAATTATGCCCGTGTTTAAAGGGGAGAGAGAAAGCTTGGTGACTGAATTAGGCACAACTTAATCAAACACTTTCGTGAGCTACATGGACATATATTAATGATCACATTATTAACTTCCTATTTCCAATCACCTCAGGCAGGATCTGGAATGAACAGTAGGTTTTCTGAAGCTTCCTTTGTATTTCTTCCTATACTTCCATCAGTCTTTCAATGATTGCTATTGCTCAAATGAATAATTATCAGCACTTTCATTGAAAATATGGCCAACAACCCATGCAACTATAAAAAAGGTTAGAATTCCTTTGATTTTGCTAATCAAAACAGAGTCAATGAACTCGTTCCAAAGCTTCTAGATATTAAAGTTTATCTAATGCACAAAAAGGTTAAATAAATATTGTTAGTGATTTGAGCTAAACTCGAAGCAATTATGTAATAAAAGCATGACCACAGTAACAGAAACACATAATTAGCAATTTAATTACTGGCATGAAGACAAGCTAAAGATGTCAATAAAAAGAATCTTTAGTGACAAGCCGCTTTTACTCTTTACTGCAATTGAGAGCAATACTCACCATCTGATGAGCAAAACCGTTCTACAAAGCTTCTACCGCTCCACAACTGAAATAGCCAATTTAAAACATTTTTCCTTCGTATCATTGCATAGTGAATCATTACATTTCCCCCTCTAGATTAGCACTTTCTCTTCTCTGAAAATACAATATTTCCAGTCAGCAAGTAAAGAACATTATGTTTTTTAAAATGAGTTAAAGTAGCAGGTGTTCCTTCCTTCAATTTCATCTTTTCCAACTTCAATAATATGTTTGACATTGAGTCCCGGTATGACATTTCAAACACCCTTTTTTCTTACCTACTAACTTACAGCCGAGAAATGTATATAAATCAACAATTGTTTTAAAAAGTGACAAATGCTAATGGCATTAGAAATAATGAGGAAAATTCAGTATCCCTCAACATTTTGCAGTTTCTTTCCTTCTCCATCTCTGTATTTCAGGTTAAGGGTAAGAGGTAAATGAGAAAAATAAGTAAGGTCAGTTTATTGTGATAGGGTCCACTTGTATTTTTTTTTTCATCACAATCCAAATTTCAAACTTTTAAACAGTCTTGAGCTATTCATCTTAACATCTTCAATGCATCCTTACCACCTTATGTGTCACTGGTATTTAACCAGTAGCAGAAAACAGATACCTCAAGATAGAACCACATTAAAAGAAGTTTTCCATCTTGTGATCAAAAGTGAATCATCTTGGCTTCTGTTCAATAGCCACTTGTACAAGCCCAGTACATAAAGTGAAATCATGAAAGCCAGACTTGCTAAGAAGTTTGGTCTATAAATACCCTTGGGGAATGATGGGATATACTTAAAAAATAAACTCTTGCAACTAAGAACACAATAAATAAAACTCCCAGTAGCAACGCCTTTTATCTTGAACTTACTGATTCTGAACATTTTGAGACATAGTTCCAACCAGATATCCTAACAACATATACCACTCTTGAGAAAGGGATGTATAATACAAAATCTAGATTTGGAAGGTCTTACAGAATAAATGTGTGTGTATATATGTGTGTGAGTGGTGTATGCACACATGTGCATGGCATATGTATGTGGAGTGTGTGTGTGTGTGTACTGGTACATATATCTATGTGGACAAGGAGGTGAGAGGAGTACATTGGATGTCCTGTCTCATTGCACTCCACCTTATTTCCTTGAGACAGGGTCTCGATGAACCTGGGTGGCATCCAGCAAGCCCCAGGGATCCTCCTGTCCCAGTCAGCACACAGAACTAGGGTTACAAGTGATACAACCACGTGGGCACTTTGCATGATTTCTGGGGATTTGAATTTGAGTCCTCATCTTTGTACAGCAAGTGTCCTTACCCACTGAGTCCTCTCTTCAGTCTCACGTTCAGAATATTGGCAGTGTATTTTATCTGACTGTAACCTTATAAATATGAAAATGGCAACTACTTGGAGATAATGCTTTTGGAATTTCTTTGCTAATATATTGTTATCTGGAATCCTCATTTCCAACATACAGCTGGAGTAGTTTCCCCACATTAATGAAGAGTTTTGCAAAGTCCTTTTGATTATTGTTCATTATACATCACCATCAGTTTCTAAGTTTCTATTTTAAACGTAAACCTAAACTCACTTGGATTTTCACTTATAATCATTTAAGCATCAAATTCACCTTCTTTCCATGCTTTTATTGTCAGACTAGAAGGGGCTGCCCTATGTTTTGTTACCTTTAACATGCCACGTTCCTTTATAAGGCCTGCTAATTCTTGTGTTTTCCAATGGGGTCTATTATGTCTGTGGAAAATTTAGGGTCCAAGAAAGAAAATGGTGTTCTCACAGGCAGTGCTGCCTCTAGCTAACTGTAGACCTGATAAAGGCTAACTAGCTCACATAATAAGTACAAGATAGCCCAGGGTCCTTGTAACCCCTGAGTAACCCCCTTTATAAGAGAGTATCAAGGGGAGAATTTTATAAAGCTTTAAAATGCATTTTTGCATTTGAGTTCATCACCTTGACAGCTTTCTGCAGAAGAAAACAAGTTTCAAAGAGCTTAAGTAATTTACTCAAGCATATCAGAATGGAAAACTCAATTAGCCCATATTTGTTCATAACAGTGCCTAGACCACAAATTGTTATGAGCTAATATGGGCTAAGTTTTTTTTTTTTTCTTAAGAAGAACTGTTTTCATAGGAAATTTCTTTCAGACAATTTGCATTTAGCATCTACACTTTTTCCCTCTTTTCTGCAATAATGACTGCCTAATAGTGAAACTTGCCTCCTTACTGTGCAGTTCAGTAACAAATGTATGATCTAAATGAATGCCCAGCTTTTGCTCAGACATTCATTCAGACACGGCAGAAAGGACCTTTAAAGTCTGGAGCAGTAATCTCAAGCTTGAGCAAGTTTAACCTTGTGAGCATGCTGATAGATTCTTAGGCCCCATCTTTAGCATCTTGGATTCAGGTCTGAGGACAGGTGAGGATTCTCTCAGGTGAATGAGTTCTATGACTGATCCTGCAGGACAGACCTTGAAAGACCTTGGAAGACCTCTGGCCAAGTCAAACCAGCTTTGAGCTACCTTTTTGAGTATCACAATCTCCTTTTCTCTGGTCCTCTTGTATTATCTAGATCCTGGATTTCAGTGATGGCATCAATGGAAAAACAGAATCTTAAATGAGAAATTGGACTTGTTTGACAGGAAAAGGCCAATGGACACAATGAATCTGAGCTTGGAATTTTATAGTTTTTGGTAATATAGGCCTAGTTGTTTCTAAATTGGGTACAAGGAATTACCAAACTCCTTTTAAAACAAGGAGGCCCATCTGGAAATATACTCTCTTACAGAAGGAGAGTACCACAGGTCACCAGCATACAATACAACCTCTGAGTGTGAATGTTACCATCCTTGAAATACAGCCACCCATTCCCCTTGAATGGATACTGGCCCTTAGATCAGG